ACATGACAGACGACACGATATGACACTCGGAATATTTTTCTTGGCATTGCGTGGCACTCTCGCGATCCGTCTGTCAATACACATCGTATGCCATCTCAGAGAAGGCATGTGAACACGTATGCCTAACGAAATAAACAAAAGGAGAAATGGAGAGAAATGAGAGAGTGACGTGGGGAGAATAGAGGAAATGGGAGGGAAAGAGGATAAATAATTTGATTCTTTTTTTTTGACCCAGCAGATCGTATGGTTATCGAAATAAACAAAAGAAGAAATGGAAAGAAATGAGAGAGTGACGTGGGGAAAATAGAGGAAATGGGAAGGAAAGAGGATAAATAACTTTGATATTTTTTAACCCAGCGGATCAACACCAGAAAGCCGCACCTCCTCCGCCATGACAATTAGTAACCTCATTATTGATATTAGTATTGTTAATACCATTATAATAACCAAAAATCTCGAAAATCTGTGGAGCCATTTATGTCCACACAACATTGACATGAGAAAACGACAATAAAATGTGTAATTGCCCGGTACAAAAGGAATAAATATGGCTATCGTCATAGAAAACGTAAAAAAAGGTAAAAAGAATGCAATGACAACTTTATAATGGGTTTTCTCATGCTACATGTGACGAATATCTGGTCTATTCGTGTAATACATTATCATATATCAAGAATATTGGTCATGAATACCGCAATTTTAAAAGATCTTGATATGTCTCTACTATTTTAACAAATTCGGCGTTATATATATGGCCTATTCAACCCAAAAATGAAATTGACTTTCCCAAAAGCATTCTGATTCTGGTTCATGATAAGGAACTCTTAATTATTGTTTTTAATTATGGTAATTATAACAATATCGAGTAAATCATGCAAATAATTGTGTATCTAGCTATATCTGATATCTGACGGCGCACTCTCATTGGCTAAACGTGGTGACGTCATTAGCTCTGCCCAAATTTTTACCCCAACAATTTGTGCGATATTTTATGATAAGTGTTATTTCAGTGCATTTTCTTTGGAAATGATTGAGTAATAACAATGATAATAATATGATCGAAAACGAAAACAAGAAAAAAAAAGATATTGAATATTTGCAATGAATAAAGGTGATGAGGCGGGGCTTAGGTCGGAAGTTGCCAACTAGGATTTTCATCAAGATGGAGTGGTTAATGTCAAGATACCTTCGACGTTATTTTGTAATTATTCAATGTATTTTTCGTATTTTTGCTTNTATATATATATATATTATATATATATATATATATATATTATATATATATATATATATATATATATATATTATATATATATATATATATTATAATAATATAATATTATAATATATATATATATATATATAATATATATTATATATATATTATAATATATATATTATATATATTTATATATATATATTATAAATTATATATTATATATATATATTATATATATTATATATATTATATATATTATATATATTATATATATATATATATATATATATTATTTATATACAATACAAACACAATGTATGTATTATATATACATACAGTATATACACACATATATATACAATATATAAATCATATAATAATATATATATATATATAATATATATATATATATATATAATGTTATACATATATATACATATATGTAAATATAAATATTTATATGTACATATATACATATATGGAAATATGTATATACATATATACATATACATATATATACATATCATATATAAAATACACACACACATACACACGCATATTGTTTGTGTGTGTGCGTGTATTTATGTATGTAAGTCCATATATATGGTGACGTAGTTCGCACTGCAGTTTTTCACTTGGTGTTTGGAATTGTACGTTCATTGAAACTATGTCAGTAAGACACATATTTGTGGTCTAGAAATTCTTGCATTTGGTGTGTTATAGAAGAAAATAATGCCGTAAATTCCAATATCAACAGTTACGATTTTTCTGCTACTTAACCTAGGCCTATAAGCATTTCTTTTGGTTTCACTGGCTTAACAGATTTGATAAATGACAGGAATTTATACAATGTTCCGTTCTCTGTTAAATTATCTAGCAATACCACAAGGAAAAGCGGCAGGCACAAAAGATCACAGTAGGGATGAAATCCTACGAAAGGAGCAGTACATGGAACTACTCTTTCTTGAAATTCTCACAAATTATGACATCTAATGATAAATTACGTTTCAGGTGCATTGCAAAGCTATCCAGGAGGGTTTCGGAAATCCGCTAGTCTTCATTTTTTATTATTTTCTTCTTTATTAAGGTTAAAACAGACACTTTATATTTAGCTGTCTTTTCCAGGGCGAGTGAATCTCAAGACCAAGGGAATACAAGGTTATTCCACCCTCCTCAGTTCTCGCAAGGGATGACGTCAGTATCGTTAGTGTCTTGAACTCTCTAATCACGGAATATTTTTCCCCTTTTCAAACTTGACAGAAACCCACTGGACATCTTTGAAATAACAGTTGAATACAGAGAAACACGTTCAAGAAAATGGATACAAAAGAAATCTGCCTAAACAGCAATTAAATATGGTGCACCGTGCAGACGGACCTACAATAAAGAACTATACTAAAAACAGTCAAATCAAATTTATCAGGAAATTCCAACAAGAGTTGGAAGTATATCAGATCAAGACTAAACTCCACTGTATGTGTGTGTGTACATTATAATATATATATATATATATATATATATATATATATATATTATGCATATATATACACATATATATACAGAAACACACACACACACATATATATGCGTGTGCGTGTGTGTGTGTGTGTGTTCTTCAAACCAACTAATAGTGTGATTTTGACATCGCTATTTCGACATGAAGTGTCAGCTGTCACCATGAAAATGACTATTACTTTGACCGCACTAAAACTCGGATACATACAGTTTATGCAATAAATCCCCACAAGTAACGCAAGTGTGACCTCGAAGGTGAACACGAGTTCATCAGGGGTTCCGCAAGGGTTCCGCAGGCGAGTATAAGGAGTGGTAGTTATCTGTCCTGCGGTAGGACATTCCGGCTGCCTATCGGGGTACACGGGTGCCCGTATCCCCAGCACCGGAAACACGGAGTTTTAACAGTATATTAGCATAAACCGACCGCTGGCTGATAGCACCCTCAACCACCAACCCTCAGGTGGCTCGAGGGCGTGTTCCTATGCCGTCTCTTCGGAGTGTAGCGTAAGGAAGCGTTGTATCTATCTTTATAATATATATATATATATATATATATATATATATAATATATATATATATAATATATATATTATGAAGTTATATTATTTATATCTATTATGAAATGGTTAATTGTTAAAAGCAAAATACATGTGCTAGACATCTAAGGTCATATAGCACTATAGGAAGGTATATCTATTATGAAAATATTTATCTATATTCCACAGATAGATAGTAATACATTGTGTTTCCTCTTTCATATTTCAGTATTGATAGAGGATTGTATTTGGTACTAGTGTCATTATTTTACACTTGGGTTTCAACACATGTTATGAGTAGAAGTATATCATCATTCTCGGTTTTATGGCGTTGGAACATAATGACAGACAATATCACGTACTTATAAAAAACGACGACAGATTATATGTATTATATACCAGTACATGTATAATGATGCGGGTATGGCAGATTCATTTCAATTAACCATTTCTTTTTCAGGAACATAGTATAAAAGAATAAATACTCTTGACTTTTCTTCTCGATGCCCCTTTTTGGTCTTGTTGATTGTGTTCCATGCACTAAAGTGATTTTTTCCAAATCGTAGACAATAATTTTCATTCAAATTTCTTAAAACCGAAGAGAGACTGATGAATATATGTTGCTTTTCTGACTCCTGCGTCTCATCCTTTGTGAGTCTTCAATTCTAAAGTCGGTAAAGTTATCACTCCAGAATTGTGGTATTAACTCTGCCAAGGAGGTTATGTTTTTGGTAGCGCTGGTTAGTGTGTTCGTTTGTTCCGAAGGACTCAAAAAGTTATAAACAGATTTTTTATGACAGTTTTACCAGAGGTGCGTCTTCGCCCAACTTAGATGCCATTAAATTTTGGTGGTGATCCGGGTCATGATGTGGATTCAGGATTTTTTAATTGCATGTCATCCTATAGTTAGCCGGAGGTATGTGCTCTCTGAGTGCTTCAAGTTATCTTAAGAAATATATGAAAAGCAGAAAAATTATTTTGCCTAAATTTGATACAGGTCAGTGTATCAGTCATTCCTGTATCCGCTGAACGCCATCTTGTTTTTACATTACCACTGTCCTTCAGCTTGAGCCCTTAATCGAAAAAATAAGCTTTTGGTTCACTTGTGACAAGTGTGACGCAATTATAGTTATTTGTACGATGAAATGTGGTAATTAATCTAGTAATGCTGCCTGTCTGTCGTACGTATTAACCTATCTCGTTTTAGCTCACACACTGTATCCATCGCGTGAGACGCAAATCATTACCCTTTGCATCGATCTATGTCCCGTACAGATGTGTTATCTGCACAGGTGTAATATGTTATTGCTGTGCATGGACCTGCACAGGTGTGGCTTACTCCTTCGGACCCGTCTGTACCTGAAACCCGATATTCTGCTATCCTCAAAAACAGCGTGTCTGACCATGTTCCGATTCGGGGCCTTGTTCCAGCGCAGCATATCAGTGGAGAAGGGCGAGGTGGCGGGCCTTCGTTGTAATGCCGGCAAGCCCGCTTCAGGAGGTGAGTTACGCGGCGAAGAGCGGTCATGTTATCAGATCCTCACGAACACCGTGGGCTGAATACTCTGGGATTTGTTCTTTCTGGCGGCTTGGGCGATTTCTCCTTTCCAGCGTTCGCCAAGAATGACGTTTCAGCTGTGACGTTTATTCGTTCATAATTCATATACGAAATAAAATAAAATGCAACTGTTCATCATTCAGCATTAAATACTTGGGAAAAATAAACATTCTCTGCTACATGTTTTTATTTGTTTACACCAATGTAATACAGTGAATCATCATTAAATCCTCAAAGCAAGATAATAGGACTTAAGATTGCATTTCAACCACCACCACCTCAGGCTGATGCAGAAACTTAAAATATATGTATATTTATATTTTTTTCCTCTTCATACTTAAATATGTTAAGTCTCCCAAGGTAGAATACATTAATAGTTTCCTCGAAAAATTATATTCATTCAAAAAATAAGTTTTATTTTTAATCCGTGTTTTTTTCCAGCAAGTTTCAACGTATTAATTAATTCTATTAAGTATTTCCTTAATACAGACGAAAGTCCGAGAACATTGATATTTTCCATAAAATAAATATACTCTTCAACAGAGCTAGCTTAGGCACTGGTAAATGCCGTAAAGAAAACGAACAAATGCATCAATTCAGTCAGTGTCCAAGTCTTTTAAGTTCATCAAATGCTTTAAACTAAAATAACAATCCAAATATTCGGGAAGAATTTCACTGCGTTTAACATTACTTCTTTGTAAAGACACTGGGAATAAACATTAGTTTGGATAGGTTATAAGGTGTTAGATAAAGAGAAAATAAATAAACCAAAGCGCAAGCGAAAATCGGCTAAAGAATTATGAGGATATTGTGCACTAACATCAACCTTAAGAGTCCATATAAGTACATAAAGTAAATCAAGCATCTAATTATTACGCTTTCATTAGATTAATGCATACATGGCAACCTTCCCCAATACTCCATAATGGAAAAAAGAAATAAGGAAACACAAAAAGGAGAAATGGGAAGAGGGGCGAAGACTTCCCCTACTATTTAGAAGTTTTAAACATGTTCATGGCGATGGGGCCAACGAGTCCATTGACATCGACGTATGTCTGGAGAACGAATTTTCCCCTCCTGTCGACTTTTGGCAACTGCTTCTGGCTCTCCTTGTACAGGTAGAAGAAATAACGGTGCGTGCCACTTGGAGGGGTGGGCGGCCTGTACGCTGGTGGCAGTGGAGGGGGGGGGGAAGCACAAAAGGGGGTTAATATAGTGAATTACGAGCATAATGATATTAATAAACAAATGTGTGTGTTGTGTGTGTGTGTGTGTGTGTGTGTGTGTGTGTGTGTGTGTGTGTGTGTACGCGCGCGCACAATAACCCTAAATTAATACTGTTGGTACTGATAGACACAAATCAAAAGCCTCAACTACTCTCCATCTACTTATTCTGTATTTCTCTATTTCTCTGCCCCCCCCCTCTTATGCTTCTAATATCTATACCCTTGTCTCTCTGTCTCACTCTCCTTTCATTCTCCCTCTCCCTCTCCTCTCACCCACTCCCTCTCTCTCACCCACTCCCTCTCACCACTCCCTCTCCCTCTCCCTCTCACCCACTCCCTCTCCCTCTCCCTCTCACCACTCCTCTCCCTCTCCCTCTCCCTCCCTCTCCCCTCACCACTCCCTCTCCCTCTCACCCACTCCTCTCCCTCTCCCTCTCACCCACTCCCTCTCCCTCTCACCCACTCCCTCTCCCTCTCCCTCTCACCCACTCCCTCTCCCTCTCCCCTCACCCATTCCCTCTCCCTCTCCCTCTCACCCACTCCCTCTCCCCTTCACCACTCCCTCCCTCTCCTCTCACCCACTCCCTCTCCCTCTCCCTCTCACCCACTCCCTCTCCCTCTCCCTCTCACCCACTCCCTCTCCCTCTCCCTCCACCCACTCCCTCTCCTCTCCCTCTCACCCACTCCCTCTCCCTCTCCCTCTCACCAACTCCCTCTCCCTCTCCCTCTCACCAACTCCTCTCCCTCTCCCTCTCACCCACTCCCTCTCCTCTCACCCACCTCTCCCTCTCCCTCTCACCCACTCCCTCTCCTCTCCCTCACCCCTCCCTCTCCCTCTCCTCTCCTCTCACCCACTCCCTCTCCCTCTCACCCATCCTCTCCCTCTCGCCTCTCACCCACTCCCTCTCCCTCTCCCTCTCCCCTCCCTCCCCTCTCCCTCTCACCCACTCCCCTCCCTCTCCCTCTCACCCACTCCTCTCCCTCTCCCTCTCACCCACTCCCTCTCCCTCTCACCCACTCCCTCTCCTCTCACCCACTCCTCTCCCTCTCCCTCTCACCCACCCCTCTCCTCTCCCTCTCACCCACTCTCTCCCTCTCCCTCTCACCCACTCCCTCTCCCTCTCCTCTCACCCACTCCTCTCCTCTCCCTCTCACCCACTCCCTCTCCCTCTCCTCTCACCCACTCCCTCTCCCTCTCAACCCACTCCCTCTCCCTCCCTCTCACCCATCCCTCTCCCTCTCCCTCTCACCCACTCCCTCTCCCTCTCCCTCTCCCCACTCC